GTTAAGTGGTGATAATTTCCACAGGAATGCATATCGTACCGAAATGTAGGGTCACTATACAGTAACCAGGTTAATATTGTGAAACAAAAACGTACAATCACATGTGACAATAATGTAAATGTTAGGTCCTAGATAAGAGCTGTCATACTTACAGCTAATGACCTAGTTATCTAGCTTTTAATCTGTTTCTTTTTACTAGGAGCTCACACACCCTAGTTCCCTTTCTCGAAGTCCTAGCTTTTTTCAGCAGCTGATATTTAGGATTGCTGAGTGATGAGTGGAAGATCAACATACAAGTTAGATGTGTTTTCTACAAACTTATCCGCCCGACGTTCTGAAGATCTTCAGCTAATGTCAATTAAACCTTTCTACGACTAGCACGATCCTTCGGTGCGGGGTTTGGGTTAAGGAGGGCAAACGGTTGTCTCATCATATTCTTTGAACTTATACGCAAAGCATGTTCTAACATTGGTGGATTGGTCTAACAGCAAAAGTGTGTTTTAGTAAAAAACCTTGGACACCTGGAGACTGCCGTTGTTTCAGTCTTCTGCTTAGTTCTTGTTTATTATATCAACATTTGCAATGTTTTATTTAAGATGTCAAATGATACAAGAATAAAAATAAGAATAAAAATAATGTTTTAGAATTATAAGTAAGAACAATATCACATTTTAAACGTCGGTATAGACTTAAGACACTTAATACAACAATGATTAAATGATAGAAATGAAAAGAAAAAGAAAGAAATGTTAAAGGGACGTTATGAATTATATAAAATTAATGATTCGTGTTTATATGGTCATTTCGCCTGTTTAATTTGTTTAAGTTGCAGCTAGGTCGGTCAGACTACAGGTTGGATAAAGGTGAAAAGTAATACTGTCAAGAAATAAAGTTCAGATTATCTATCAAAACATTTACTAGGCTGAGGGCCTGTTTATAAGTAACATATAAAGTTTATTGCAAAACAGTACTATATGCTAATGAAAATGTTATATATCGGTTCATAAATTTATACAAAACTGCTTATTGACATAAAACATGCTTGTCTCATCAGCAACATGCCGGCATGTTTCATCATCACGACTGATCAGATAGATAGTTTCATACTGTCACGTACAAAAGACTCAAATTTTGATTTAAATTCCAGTCAAAGTACGGGTACATTATTATTTGTTGTTGTTGTTGTTGTTTTTTTTTTGTTTTTTTGTTTTTTTTACAACATAATATTGATGATGAGTATAATAAAATTTCATGAGTCTGCCTCAGAATATTATTTCTGTATATACTAGTATATAGGTCCATTGGTCCGGGTGTTATGTTATATTATAGCATAAAATCGGCTATTTTCCCCTCTTTTGCCCATGTTATAACGGGACCAAAACCATGTGTTAACATAGTCACGCGCTCTTGTTATAGCCCGGTTTCATCTATGCGCAATACATACAGGGCCCAGTAAACAAACAAACAAAAATGACGATTTGGCCTGTTTTGCCAAAGAGTCATTGCCGCTCTTGTTATATTGAAATGTATTGATTCGAGGGCCTCAGTCGCATATTCAAGTAACTATGCCGGAAAAACGCGCGTATAGACATAGGTGCTAATCTTGGTTGTCGCCCTTTCTAGTTGTCAATGTAAACAAATACAGTAGAATCTACCTGTCATTCAGTTTAAACACTCCGATTAACTTACAAAAAAAACTAGATAACACAAAATTAATATGAGAAACTGTTTTTTATTTATGTTAATGTTGATAAATGCTCATTATATTTCTTTAAGAGAATAATGCTTAGTGCCTGATTTTTTTTATAAACTTGTTTGCTTGAAAAAAAACCCGATTCTGATGTCACTGATCTTTTTTCTACCGTCAATCTGAAATCATTCTAAGAATTTCTGAGGGTCATGTTTTGTCTTGGGTAGAGGGTAGAGTAACGTAACGTTTTATTTTCTTCTTGAGATAACGTAAATCTCCAAAGGCCAAGCTTTGTTAAATCAATTAAAATTCAAAATTTCGTTTGGTTCCGAGAATTTTCCAAGTTGTTGGCCCCGGAAAAATGAAACGGATACGTAAAAACATAGAATTGGATAAATACCGTCCAAGCACAAGAATTTAATGTAATTGTGTTTTGTTAAACTATATATCACGAATTTGTTTGAAAATGTTATGCTATAATAGCGTCAACGCACGTTTATTTCGTGTTATAAAGTCTGCAGAGTCCCTCGGAACTGTTGGAGCCCTCGCCCTACCGGGCTCGGGCACCAACCGTTCCTCGGGACTCTGCAGACGTTATAACACGGAAAAACGTGCGTTAACCCTATATTATTTATTGTCGTTATTTGTAAATAGTCATACACACTATGATAAAATACTCTACTCACTTAACAAAAGATGTATATTCAATGTGTGTAATTTAATCTATTGTCATTCAAATTAAAGGTTAGAGAAGGGATCTATCAAATTAAATAGTGACTTGCTTTAAAATGAATAACGGGAGTTCAAATGTGTCAAAGGGAGATCACTAAGTCTTATCGCCAACAAACAAAAGTCAGTAGAGTAGCTGTTCTTGGTTATTTAATCACGGAATTAAATTGGACAACTATTCATTCATTCATTCATTCATTCATTCATTCATTCATTCATTCATTCATTCATTCATTCATTCACTGACTCACTTTCATTCATTCATTTTCATTCATTCTCTCATTCACTCACTCACTCACTCACTCACTCACTCACTCACTCACTCACTCACTCACTCACTCACTCAATCACTCACTCACTCACTCACTCACTCACTCACTCACTTTCATTCATTCATTCATTCATTCATTCATTCATTCATTCATTTATTTTTTTTTCATTTATTCATTCATTCACAAATTTAAGGCCATGATATATTTCTGTATTATTTGATACTAATTAACATACGGAAACACCAAAGAATTGAACTTTGTGGGTTTGGGTCTTTAATTTTTTAAAATTTGGGAATTAACAAGTTTTTGTAACTTAACTCGGCCACCAAAAATTTTTATTTCCCGATCCTACCCCCCCTTTAAAAAAAAATTGTCACCAAGTTTCACCAAACGCATCTTCAAATCTAAAAAAGTCGGCCAAAAGTAAAAAGGTTTTTTCTTCAATTTGTAAAGTAAAAATAGGCCAGATTGAATCTAAGAATTTCCCAACCAATGCACTCGCCCCAACTAAAACATTTGAGTGATTTTTTTCACGCAAACAGGGAAATCTACAAATGCTCAATGGTGGGGGGGGTACCGATTTGTTTCAGTTTATATATTTATTTTCATCAGGTAAAAATCCTGGAGTTTTAACCCAAAAAGTACCTGACGTTTTAAAAGTCCCTTTTTTAAACATTTTGAGAACAATGCTTTTCTTCAATAAATGACATTATCGCTATTACGCCATTAATAAATACACATAGACAAGTAGTTTTCTTTGACAGTAATATTTATCAGGTTTAACATTTATCCCATATCCTCTCCAGACAAAATACAAGGACCAACGCATTTTCCCGAAACATGATACATGTATATGTTAATTATTCAAACACCGAGTCCCTTGTGGCTTACGGACCCGAGCACCGTTTAACCCTATACATAATCCTGAGAGGCGTCAAAAGTACGGAAGATCTGTAGGGACATTTCAACTTCATGAAATCCCGATTTTATCTTCATGAATTCCCGATTTTAACTTAACGAATTCACGATTTCAACTTTATGAATTAACGATTACAACTTCACGAATTCACGATTTAAACTTCACGAATTCAACTTCGTGAATTCACGATTTCAACTTCACGAATTCACGATTTCAACTTCATGAATTCACGATTTTAACTTCAACCTCACGAAAATTCACGAAGTTGAATCAATGAAATTGAAATCGTGAATTCGCGATGTTAAAATCATAAATTCTTGAAGTTAAAATCGGGAATTTAGGAAGTTGAAATCGAGAATTTGGGATGTTGAAATCCTGAATTCACTAAGTTGAGTTTGTGAAGTTGAAACCGTGAATTTATGAAGTTGAAATCGTGAATTCCGAATGTTGAAAACGTGAATTTACGAAGTTAAAATTGTCAATTTATGAAGATGAAATCGGGAATTCGTGAAGTTGAAATAGCCTACAAAAGGGTTCGAATGCATATATTTGCTCCATCAGGTGAGCTGGTAAGTAATGGGCGTGATCATTAACGGTGACCAAATGTTACCGTAAACAAATGTCACATGATCACCCAACCTACACATGGTACTTTCAAAACTAGTTATGGATGTCCCTCAAAAGCAAACAAAAGTATTTGTTTTAAATGTTATATTTTTAAATGCATATGCTGTAAAGACGTCTCTATTCCTTTATCTTTATTTGATTCAATATCTATTTAAGGTAGCTGGTATTTTGTGTGTGCTTTTAACAATCAAGGATTATACTGAGAAAAATAACTTAAGAAATCATTCTTGACAGTTTTCGCAAATATTACAACATGAAGGACAACTCCTGCCAAAATTCATAAGTTTTGCTAACAGCCGTCTGTTGCCGCTGATCTTTGAACGTGTCACGTATGTTATTTTGACATCAATATTCATTTCCCAAAACTGCCATCCAAGTTTTGATGTATCTAAATTTACTTAATTAAAATATGTCTATAGAAATGATGTTCATTTTTGTAAACATTTTAGCTTTCTTCATTTTTCCCCAGTCCATTACTTAACGCATGACTCATATAACACATTATGTCAAACACATATGTGCTTCTTTCAGTCAGACCATAATACGTGGTCTCTTTAAGATTAATAGCATCTAAAACGCTGCCTCATTTTCACAATTTAATTCTTTTTAATGGACTATAAACATATACATGTAATTATATCAAAAAATATATTTGAAATTCTTGACAGAAAGGTGATATGTAATTAAAATCTTTCTGACCAAAACTTGTTTTATGATATATTCAATGTATTTCAAATATGGTAACATCTGTCAATGACAAATATCAAGTTTTAATTCTGGAAACCAATTTCGCTTGTTATTTAAGAAGATTCGCATGAAAGCGGCTCTTGTGAAACAGTGTTACAATTGTATCTCCTTTGATAAGATCAACATAAATCTCTGCAAAGAATGGACAGATTACTTTTGACTTTGTTGGCGATTGTGAGTAAACTCTTTATTTCTAATGAAATTTTTGGTTTAAATATCTTAATGATTCTTATCTTGATAATTTCGAAACTGTTTTTGATAATTTTAAATCAATTTAAATTCTTGTTTGTTGCAAATCGTTATATTTATCGAATATTTATAACCGTTATTGTTGTTGAATGTTACAAGTCCCCACTTTTCAGTCGAATCATGTCCTCATTTTGTTAATCAATTTATGTCCTCACATTTCGACCAACAACAATAGGTAGTTCTGGTAAGATATTGTTTATTGTGCGTATTGAACTTAGGAACAGTTTATTAGTAGACAAATGTCTAGTTTAGTAAATACATTTCAAGGATTTGAAGGCTAGTCGGACTGTGATGTGGTCACGTGAGTCTGCCAATTTCGCTGCTCTCTTGTTTAACTGGTCAAATGGTAATAAACTTTTTGGTCTACGAACACCGCTTTACTGCCTATAATGATCGGTCTACTTACCTTAGTCTTCTATCAAAGTCAACAAATTACAAGTCTCGGTTTACAAAACTAAGTTTGCAATTCACGAACCTGTTTTTGAATAACAGTTTACAGTTCTTAGTGTTTGCACATCTTTTTTTCCCCTTCACACTCTGGGGTCTAGTATTCCGTAGCTACAAAAATATTTTTAGCTACAAAAACATTACTTAATTACTTAGCAATTAAAAAGTCAGCTGCGTCAACACGCGGTCATTTTTGTTGCTCACCAAATTATGTTAATCCTTTGATATTGTACGTATAGTTTATCCTTAAATTAAGTACAAAAAGTAAATAGTACTTTAATGTCAAATTATATGAACTATTGAATTAAAGTTCACCAATAAACTAGTACATGTATTTCTGAACATGGTACCGGTTTGAGCCAACTATTAACTATCATGCATATAAAATATCGAATTTTGCTGAGCCAAGCTAGAAACTAATGGAGCATTCCCAAAACAACAAAACCATATGTCCTTAATAGTTCCTATCACTTACAACATTTACATGTCATCACATTGAAGTATTTATATTTAAAAACAATGAATTGTCATAAATCTTATAGCTGTAAATTGATTGGTTCACATGCAACATGTTTAGGTAGAACTCACCAGAAATCTTTTTTCATATAACATCAGAAGATGCTTTAAACAACTGAATGAACCGTTTCTAAATAAATATACATGTAATTGTATTTGTTCAATTCGTTTAAGTTTGTACAGAATTTAAGTTCGATTGAGTTTGATGTTTTAAGCTTTTTTAAACAATGACTTTTGAATCTTTAATCCGTTCCTGGAACTTAGAACCAGTCAGTACTTATAGCAATGAGTGCAAAGTTTCTTACTCAAGAAAATAACGGTCGGCCCTAGTTACGCGTAAAACAGCTAGGCCTTTCGCCACCCTTGGCGTGTAATATATGTATAAGACCTAGTTTAAAAGATTGTATATTAATAAAGCTACTAAGGGGCGTCCTTGGCCGAGTGGTAAAGGTTGTTGACCCTCATCGCAATCCCGACAAGGAGCTATCCAGCTAGCTCATTGAACGTCAGTGGTTCCACTAAGGTGCCAATTTGTGCCTGAAATAATGCACGGAACTACGTCTGAGGTCTTCCTTCACCAAGTTTGATTTTCTTGAAATATTATGTGTAATTTCTGTGTATATAACATTACGTGAAATTTGTTTATACATGACATAATTTTAACAAAATTTTTAATGTGAACAAGTTTTAGTTTTCAAGAAGATAAATGATTCTTTAATATAAACAGATAGGCCTGTTCCAATTTGTTCTGTTCTTTGCTCTCCTGTTCTCTCTAGTCTGTTCTTCTAAGTTTTGTTCTGTACTGGTAATGTCTGACCTGTACTAGGCTTGTCCGATCTGGTCCGGTTCGGTTGGCCTGTCTGGTCTGATCTGGTTGTATGATTTCATATGATTTCATATGATTATGATTAAGCCTTTGTCAAATTATTTAAAGATGACGTTTGTGGCGGTAGCTGTTTCTGACAATGGATGTGGACCCCGGAAAACATGTACATCGGATAGTCAAGTAAGTTCATTCGGATCATAGGATTTTTTCCACTATCAAAAACAAAAGGTATTTTTGAAATTAATAATTTTAAATAAATAGCATTGGAGAGTTACATAATGGATAAATAATTAACAAATTAATCATTCTAATTAATATCATATTAAAGATTAGGATTAATTAAGTCTTTGATCGTTTCATTTATATATTATAACACATTACAAACGTGTTTTTCTTTGAGATGAGTTTTATATTACCAATCTTATTTATTTCAATTGATACATGATTAAAAGTTTGACTTAAAGAACCCTTCAAAGAGAACGTTGAGAATATTTTTACAGCACTGACTAACTGAAATATTATCTCCTACATACCATGTTGTGATAACGCTTTCAATGAAAATTGAGGCCTTTCTGAACTACCCTCTTATCCCTTTGAACGAACTGAAATCTCTCCTTCTTTAAGGTAAAGGCAAATTCGGTGACACCTCGTAAGATATCGTATAGAAAAAGATATCTACATGATTATATATGACAAACATACACAATTATAAACTGATGCCAAAGGAGATGGTGCAATTTTAGGTTGGTCACTTGTTTGACAAATTTATCACGTCGGCAACCATACCCGCACTTCAGCAACAACTCCGCCTGAATCTCTACACCCAACCATTACACACCCGTCCCTACCAAAATAGATCCAAACAGACCGTTAAATTTTGCTTTGCAGTAAGAATTAATTAAATCAACTTAATTTTCACATAACGTTTACACTGATGAAGCAATCACTAGGGCAATGTATCTTTTCAGTGTCCTTCCAAGTGGACTTGTCTTGGTGGCTATTGTTATAAATGTAAGTACATAATTTGCTTGATCACACTGTCTGTTATGGTCTGTCTGAAGCAAGAAAGCAATTCAAACTGACGATGTTCCCCAAATAACTGATTAAATAGATTTAGCTTTCAAAAATGATAATTTATTTTTCAATTCCTTGATTATCTTATCAAAGATATAGCTATTCCTAACACCACGAAATGCTGTAAATGACATATGCTTTGACTTCGCATTAAAGCCTCAATATTACAGGTGGGTGCCAGAACAATGCAACTCAATGCTACCTTGACGGCAACAGCTGGGCATGTAACTGTACTGGTACAGGTGGCTATTATGGAACCGACTGTAAGTGTCCACCTGAAAGCACAGGTAAATATTTGCACATATCATTCTGATTGCGTCACTCTTTTACAGTGCGTCATAACTTGAATTGGCCATACTCGTATAAAAGTTTCCACAATTAACGTTTATAATTTACCTAAATGTTGTCGGTTCTGTAACTTTTAATAATTATAAATAATCAATATTATAATAATACGCATGTAACCAGCGGATTCGCATTTCCGGAACTAGTAGTAAGACGTGTGTATACTTTACTTACTGACCATAGTGCAACTGTGACTTAAATCCTTACAACTTTACAAAAGCTTGGCACTCTGCACAAAATATTTTGGTTATTTCGGGTTGTGTCAAGGGTAGGTTATCCGGCGTATCTTTTCATTAGTTTACAGGTATGTTTTATAAATCTACATCGATATACGATCATTCATTTCCAAAACATTTCCTCTGTTTTCATTTCAGAACCATGTACAGACAGATATTCTATGTACAGTAGTACGTATTAAATTACATTAATTATCAAAACCCGTCTATTGTTATTTTTGTTTTAAACCTTGGTAGTAAGCGCTGCACGGAGTCGGATGTCATTTTTGAAGAATATTTTGTAAATAGAGGGCAATTTTGCCTGGCAATTAAAAGAAGTTTGTCATTTTTTATAAGATACAAATTAATGTAGGTTCCGTTGTCGATCTTTGTCCAAAATACGTTTGTTAACTAAATGAAAAGATTGTTTGGCTAGAAAAAAACTCATACGACACATAAATTTTGATGAAACCTGGGACATAATTTAAGAGATGTAAAAATTGAATGAAAAAACACTTTTGTGTTTTTAAGTTTTAATCTATATGTAAAGAAAAAAATCGTTAGAATATACATTACATGTGTAGGTTTTGGTAGCACCACAATATTAGAAAAATACTTTAGTAAATACATGTATTACAACTGTACATTGTCTCTTCTGTAAAGCAATCATTTGTCTATTCTGTTATATAATAGCTTGCCAAGAGTTCTCTGGTTCGTTCACGGAACTACCTGGTCGTAGACTACATATAGAAACAGGAGACGGACTTCCGGTCGTGTATGACGGGTACGAAACCAGCTACGACAATTGCAGAAATTTATGTTTACAATATGATTGCCATTTACATGTGTACGGGGCAGACGACTGCGTGATTATTGACAAGGACCACTCCATGCCGCTCGATCATATCATGTTCAGATTTAGGGAGGCGGGCGATTATTCGATATATGTTAGAGAATGTAATGTTTGCTAAACTGTAAAAGAAGCTGAATGGACTTAAAGTTGCACGCCTGTAGATGATTTAAAAATTTCTAAAAATAAATCTAATAAAGTATCATTATGTGAGCAGTTTATGACTTGTTTGAATATTCCCGACCTGTGCGGTTTTCAGCATTTTTTAGGACGAATTTGACCGAATTTTTCTATTCTGATTACCACATTTATATCCCATTTATAAGGGAGCTTATGTTTACTAATTAAGACACAATTATAATGTAGCTTTTGGAGACGGTTGATGTCATAACTTTGTTTCAAAATGTCTTTGTAAAGTCGAACATTGTTTGATAGAATTAGGTAATTTGTTCCTAACGTCGATACTGAAATAAGAAAAAGAATCCTTTAAGTATACTTTTCAGAACAAGATCCTTATTAGCGATTGAGCTTAAATTATGTAATTCATTGTGAGAGAAACCACATTTGAATTGAAGCGTAGATGGATTTCGTAAGCATGATGTCCATTAAAAAGTACCATAAGTTAATTCTAATTTATATTCTAAATAAACAAAAAAGTTTTACTAGTTACTATAGCACAAAAACCCTTAAAATTGTTTCGCTGAACGGTTCTTAGCGTTATTCCTTCTTGCTGATGAGTGTATGTCGATGTTATCATTAAATAGAATCGAACGGCTGATGACGTTACTCAAATTTAAAAAACATTCAAATCTTTTAAGGAAAAGCATATTACTTTGTCTTTAGTATGATTATTCGAATATAGTTTGTTCTTCTAACAATAATTCAAGCATCAAGGCACATGAAAATAATTATGACGTTTTACTTTGTGTTTCATTTATTAGGATTCAGTCTGTCTTACCTAGCGTTCGACTGTTATATTAATCTTTATGCAAACAAAGGCTCAAGTTATCGTCCTGGGACAGTACGCTCTGTACTTTGGCAAAAATGCCCACAGACAAAGAGTGTGAAATATATCTCCAATATTAAAAGCATATAAAACGTTTCTGAAACGTTCATGTTTTGCAAAATTAAAATACATGTAATTCTGTTATATACATAGAATAATGCAATTTCCACGGGAGGTGATCGAAAAACGTAGAATGAAGACCGTCAGGGAGAAGTGGAAAGATCATGGCTTGCATATGATAGGCTGTTCATCGACGGTAAACCTGTCCGGGAGTAGGGGTGCGCCGGAGGTGAGCTAGCTATCTTGTCATGAAACGTGCATGGGTTAACATCTGACAAAAAGGCTCATAAAGACTTTGTAGATATACGTTTTTGTATGAATCTTGGACAAAGTTTAGTAGTAATATTTCTTTAAATGGTATATTTCATTTAACTTTTATAGAAAATTTCAAAATAGGGGTGCGCGAAGATGCAGTGGTGGTTTTTTTGTATTTTAAAGAGCATTTAAAAGAAGGTATACAAATTATAAAAGATCACCATAATACAATCATTTGGCTTAAACTTGATCGTATTTTTATCAATACAAAAGAAGATATTTTTGTGTGTAGTGTATAAATATGAATTAATTCAGTTATCCAAATTTGTTAAAGAAGCACTTGCTTTGAGAAACAAATTGTTAAATGTTGAACGTTAGTAAGTTTGTAAATAAGTAAGTAAAGTCTTTATTTACTGAGGCTACACATTTGGTTTCCCAATCTTCCATGTGGGCCTCAAATATTAATGATTTCTATTACCATTATATTGACGTTATGCTTGTAAATATTATTGTATTATAGATGGCATATGTACAATGTACAAATCTTAATAAAAATAGAGAGCTTCTGTAAATGGACACAAAGTAAAAACATTAATTGACTACCGTTATCGGAGCTTAATATGCGTTTTGTGTCTTGAAGCATTGTTACTGTAGTGACTTCAATAATTTTTATGGCATAATCTATCATAACTTATGTGATCAATATCGGGACATTTATGGAACTTTATTACAAAATACCATATGTTCTTGATGAACAGCCATTGACAAAAATATCGGCAAACCTTAAGAAATAAATACGGATTTAACTCAATACAGGATTGGAGCAGTACCTCTAGACGCTTGCAGAAATCATTATCAGAAATAGACAAATTTATTTTCGCCGATTTTCAAATTTTTCATAATTATCATACATAAATCGGTGTGAAAAGATGAATTAGCCTTTTTAGACCTTTTTCATTCCGATGGGTTAGAAAACAAGATTTTAGCATTTTATCATTCAAGCGCCGTGTCCGGTATATACCGGAATACGGTATTTAGTGTGGTGCTCCAATCCTTTTTTAGTCTCACTCAATAAATACAGGTAATTGAAAAATATTTTCTTTTGATGTTTTTTTTGTGATGGGATAATTGAATTTCTTTTCTTATTTATTTATTTATTTTTTTTTTTTTATTTATTTATTTATTAATTAATTAATTAAATGTTTATTTTTAGTTCATTCATTTTTGTTTTTCAAAGGTCTGTAAAACTTGTGCAAATTCTCAAGACAATTATCTGGCACGGCCCCGTACATTATCAAATTTATCGGTTTAAATGTTGAGTCTCAAATTATTTGAATTTTGTCGTCTGCCTTGAGACGTCACATATGATGAGGTGAGAACGGAATGGTAAAAATCTAACAAAAGTAAAAGATGTATTTGAATAGTTTATTTTTCAATATATTATGTAATTGTACTCATAATATATTCTTCATAATTGTTGCGATTCTTTGTTTCCATTTTTTAAAGTCACGTGCGCGTTCGTTACTCAACACACGGCACACTGCCTAATATAAAAATTAACGTCAGCGGCATATTTAACATTTTTCATTAACGAAGATGCATCAAATTCACTAGTTTCACTAAAAACTTTACACATGTAATTTCCAAACGAAAAGAATCGACAGCTGCGCGCCTGACATTGCCCTTTACAATCGTCATATTGGGTTTCCATATTATACGCAATCACAAGCTCATTTCCGACGACGGCGTCCAGATTTTCAATTGTGTCAAACTCGTTCTGGTAGAATTCACTGCAGTCTGCAACAAATTCAATTATCAAAAATTAAGGTCACATAGCAATTTCAGATGAAAACAAGTTACGAGGAGTATTCAATAATTAGTGTCGGGCCTATAGTAAAATGAAAACTTTTGAAGCAACTACCATTTTTATTTTTTTAAACCTTCAAAGTAATCGCATTTGAACAAAATACAGAGTTTCAAACGTTTGATCCAATTTTGAAATGCTTTTTTATAGTCTTTTTGAGGTATACCCCTACACAACTGATGTAATGCTGAACCAGGTCCATTTCTTGTGCTGTAACGGCGACCCTGAAGGTATTTCTTTAATCTTGGAAACAGGAAGAAATCGCAGGGTGCCAAATCTGGCGAGTATGGTGGGTGATTAAGCACAGTTACACATTTGCTCTCCAAGAATTTCTTTACAATGTATGCCTTGTGTGGAGTAGCGTTGTCCTGGAGTAGAAACAGACCTCTCATACTAGTGTTTGGACGACGTTTGCTATAATATTTGTCAACTTTGTTTAACACTATTCGTTTGTAAAACTTTGCAGTAACGGTACGACCTTTTGGAATAGGAACTTGTGTCACTACACCATGTATACCAAAGAACATGGCATACATAACCTTCTTTGTGCTAGTCATTCTTTTAGCTAAACAGGGCCTACGGGTATGTTTGGTGGCCCATATCTTATTATTTACCTTCCGTGTGGGCTCAAAAAAGTGGAACCAGCTTTCGTCTCCAGTTACAATGTTAGAAAATTTACGATCGTTATATTTGGGAAACATTTTCAATAATTTCTTGGCACATATTACGCGCTCTTGCATTTGCTTTTCAGTCAATAAATGTGGTATCCATCTGGCTGTAATCTTCTTAACTTTGAGGTGCTTCTTTAGAATCGTAAATGTACTTCCCGTTGAAATGTCAGTATACTTAGCTATTTCAGAAACTGTATATCGAGCTTCTTTGTTAACGAGTCCTTGCACTTTTTTAATGTTGTTTTTGGTGACCACTGTGTGCTTTCTTCCCCTACCACTAGCATCGTTTAGTGACTCCGTTCCACTTTTAAACTTAACAATCCTTCTTTGAATTGTCCGTTTACTAGCCACAGATGGTCCATAAATACGACAAAGTTCTTTATGAATGGCTGCACCACTTAACCGAAATGTCATACGCGCTTTGATGTAAGCTCGAATTTCAACATTATTTACTGAATCTTTTCCAGCCATTTTTATACGCAGTTGATCGAATATTCAACATTCAACACTAACTTTCTTAAAACATGTGTGAATTGGGATACCTGTATGATACACCGTTGGAAAGATAAAAGTCGAAGCGTATCATAATGTAACTTTGCACGTGATTCACTAAATATACTTAGAGAAAAATGAGGCCCGTCACTAAATATTGAACGCTCCTCGTACTTAAGAATAGATCGGCTATCTCTAACTTTATTATGCTTAACTCGCCATTTATTTTAAACAACTGTGCTAGTCGGATTAATATAAAAAGTCGATTAAACAGGTTAACGTGACAACAATTGTTTACAAAACACTTGTATGCGCAGTAGGTCTGTAAGCGAATAGGCCAATGAGACATATTTGCAAGTGCGCATGCTCACTCATTATTATTATTATCATTATTATTATGTAAAATATCAAATGTACATTGTTCACATGGTTATATTCAAGAACACTTTTATGATTGTGTTTTAAGCTGTGTGCTTTTCAACAGGAAACAACGTACATGTACAATTCTATATAAAAAAAGAAATCATTAAAAGCTGCGAGGAGTTGGTACTGCGTCATATTTCGTTGACATCAATGACGAAGTAAAAAGTCAAATTATTTCAGCGCATAGCAACAATAATATTTAAAAAAAAAAAACAGAATTTAAATCTTCCGCCGTTATTAGAGCCTGAATCGCTAGTGAATTTATATAACGCACGAGTCATTATGTACAGTCCCTGTCCAAAAACATTTTGAAATAAATTTATTGGAAGTTAAAAAGATAAATAAATAAATGAATAAATGCTCACCTTTATAGAGCGCCCAATTGTCAACGCCACAATCTTGAAAGTTAAAGCAAAACACACATTTTAACACACCATGTTGTTTATTTGATTTGCCAATTTTGAAAACTAGATTATTTAATCAATTAATCAATCAGTCTGTTATCTTAATAGTCAGTCAACGTTCGTTCGTTCATTCATTCATTCATTCATTCATTCATTCATTCATTCATTCATTCATTCATTCATTCATTCATTCATTCATTCATTCATTCATTCATTCATTTATTCATTCAATAGTTCATTCATTTAATCAACCAATCAATTAATCGTTCATTCATTCATTCATTCATTCATTCAACCATTCATTCATTCATTCATTCAATCAATCAATCAATCAATCATTCATTCAATCATTCATTCATTCAATCAATCAATCTATCAATCAAATTCTATATCATTTTATCATTGATTCAACTTTTTTATTCATTCAATCAAACACTAAATCAACGTTTCAGTTCTATTTATTTTATTTATTCAATCAATCATTCATTCATTCATTCATTCATTCATCAAATCACTCATTCATTCATTCATTTAGTCATTCTTTTAGAAACTCGTAAAACTGTTAATTTTGAAAGTTAGAAATTACCGGTAGATTCAGGTGCACATTCACAATAATCGCCATAGTAGCCGGCCGAGTTTGAGCAATTGCAGGCCGCACTGTTACCGACCCTGTAGCACTCGTCCCTGTGGTTACATGCGCCTGAAATAAGTAACACACACAATATCTTTAACGGACTTGCCCATCATTCATTTTTGAACTAAACCATTCATTATTTTAGGGGGCAAAATAAAAATATGTACCGGTAGAATATCGAACAGTGCAGACCATGATCAGATAGCATTAATATGGCTGCAGATCTTGGCCTGCACAGGTCTTATGTGTGTACCAGCTAGCATGCTAAAGCAATTACTGAATTCTATACTGGAGCATACACATGTTTGTTAAGTTAGGTTCAACGCGAAAAGAGATGCAGAGATTACAAAGATGTGTCAGAAAAGTAGCCTTCTATGGGATGCGTAAAATTATGTGAATCGTGCAAAATTTAATTCATATCGAACGTTTATATTTTTAGATATATAAGTTGGTGACATAATGTACTGCAGAATATAGCCTGAATAACATATTAGTTATAACCCAAGCCGCTACATGCATATGTACTTACAATATAAGCATATTTTGTCGCCCGTAGGTCCTAAACAATATTTTGCTCCGGGACACTGAAAAGTAAATTATTCATTTAAACAATATAATACTTGTTATCATAATTAATCATTATCATAATATTATATTTTTATTATTATTATTATTATTATTATTATTATCAACAGTTTCAATATCACCATCATGATCGTCATGGTCATCGTCACTGTCATTATAATCATTAAAACAATCATCATCATAATCATCATCATCATAATCATCATCATTATCATCATTACAGCCATCATTATCATCATCAATACAATCATCGTCAACTTCATCATCATCATCATCGTCATCATCATCACCGCCATATTCATCATCATCATAGCAATCATCATCATATTTTTCGTTGCAGTCATCATTAACTTTTACTTCTTCTTCTTCATCATCATCATTATCATCATCATAATCATAACTATCATCGTTATCTTCATCATCGTCAGCAGCAGCTACAGAAACATTTAAAGTAGTAAAATATATCAGTCGCCCTTAACAATCTGGAACCGAAAGTGAATAGCCTTTGCCACCAGTATAAAGCCATATATCAATCAACATCTGTGCAGTCTGTGACAAGCTGTATACCATTTTGTATTCTGATGCTGAAATTTTTTCATCATTAATGGACTGTTCCAAATCCAAAACCGAGGATAAATACATGGTACAAATTAGCAGGTTTCGGGCTTAAATATCAGGAACTATTTTAAAAAGAAATAACTTACGTCAGAATCCAAAGAACAGGCTTGTATTGGTTTGTGACATTCTGCGTTTGATTGTTGTATGAAAACAACCGAGACTAGAAATAGCTGGAAGAAAAGATGATGAAGTGAATGTGACATTGTAATTTGGTTTAAATATATCTATTTATATCATGTTACAATACAATTACAACATACAGAAATTTTTTACAATATCATGATAAAGTGGATTGAACTGAAACCTTATTTCAATTGTTTATCATTCAAACTTTATTTTCTCAAGATCGTTTTTATTTTTACATATAAAAAATTATTGTCATACATTGTTTGTTATTTTGCCTGTTTATGTGCTCATTGATTTAAAATGAATTTACTGAACGGAATGAATTTCAAAAAAGTTTATCGTTTGTTTAAACCACACAACTTATCTAAAAAAATAACTTCTCAATGCACGAACCTACCGGCTAACCCGTTAATCCAACCAAACCAAAACCAACTGAACAAGTCATCCAAGTCAAGTAAAAAGAATCTAACATTAAACAAACTTTCGAAATAACAAGTTCACAAATTAGCAAACTAACCTACAAACCAGTTCAATAACTAATATGAAAACTAACAAACCAATTAACCAAGCAAAATTAATAATAAATATTGAAAAGCAGTTCATCTTCAAAATAACCAATAAACCAACCAATCAAATTACCGAACCCTCAAGCAACTTTTTGTCTCTTTTATAATAAGTAAATAAAAATTCTATTATCATCATCATCATCATCACATGACATTTATATTCATAATTGTTTCATTAACAAAATAGAAGTTTTCAAAACAAAACAAATGTTAAACTTGTTACTTACTATTGCCAAGACATGAAGATCGAGCTTGTGTATGCTAAGCATATCTTATATTTTATGCAACCTTTCCTGAAAGACTTCCTACAAGAGAATGATCATGTTAAATGTTAAAATAGAAAGCTACATGCCGATACACAATGACATATGTTACATGATTTTAATCATCTTCTCACTTCAAAAAGTTTCTTATCTAATTTCCTATCTGACAACTTTTAATTACAAACAATATATTCTAAAAAATCAATCATGGAGTGTCAAATAAAGTCTAGGTACCGTGATTGAATTTAATAACATATTTCTAGCATGAATATCTAACAGAACAGAACAGATATTAGCACGTATACATAATCGATATCAAAATAAAGATACAAAAATAGACACGTCAATTTTATTGTTGGTTTTGAATGTGCATTTGCATGTAGGGCTGGTCGTCATCAACAACAACAACAACAACAACCACAAATAAAGTTTAATAAGCCCCGATCTATAATGTTATCTAAATTCCCGTAAAAGATGAATAGTTAGAACATTAACGCTTTTTACTAATAATAACGTTTTTATCGGATGTTTGGGGGCGTCCGTGGCCGAGTGGTTAAGGTCGAACTTCGAACTACTTGCCCCTCACCATTTAGGGTTCGAAAACCGACATGGACTTTGGATTCTTTCATATGAGGAAGCTATCAAGCTAGGTGGTTCTATTCAGGTGCCTGTTCGTGCACGCAAAGGCACCTGAAGTCTTCTTTCACCAGTAAAGCTGGAACGTCGCCACATGACCTATACTGTGTCGGTGTGCTTAACAAACAAACAAATCCGAAGTTTGACGGAAACGGCCAAGAAGTTGCAATGGATTTAAAATTATGCCAGCGATTATTTAACAGTGAAATAACGTAAATAAAAAACTACTAAGTTCAAATCGACAATATAGCAAACTTTTGAACACGCCTTTCATGCGATTGTTGATAAAGTGGTGCAAATTGTTGTTAATGTGGGGCGAGTAGTTACGGAACGGAGCGAATGTTGGGTGGGTGTGCGGGATTCCGGGATCCGGAAATTATTTGCATGCGATTGAATGTACATGTATTATATTTTCATGATTGATGATAAGCTGTATATGCTTAAGTAAAAGTAAATATTTTGTTCTATTCTTTTCTATAAGGAAAAATAATAAACTAATTACTGTACACAGTATTGTGTTGATATTTGTGGTATTAATGGTGATGAAACGTAAAATATTTGATTATATCGAAAGTAGATTTAAACGTAAGATAGAGTTATACTTGAAATGCGGGAATAACAATACATGCACTTACAAAAGATTTATCCTTTAAAATAAGTTTGTTTTATACACGATATAGCTTAAGTTTCAGCTAATGTTTTTTATATATAATATCATTTATTTTTAATTAAGATCATAACATATCATGCCTAACAAAGTTAATGATAAACAACCTTTTGAAACATGTGGCAGATGGTGATGGTCTATTTCTGGAATCTCTCTATTTCAAAAACTACCCCGGCTTTTCTTAACATTATATGACAGTAGGTAATTAGCGGGATCTCTATATATCTAATACGATTCAATTTTTCTTACCATTTATGACAAAATGTATTATCTATTTTAAATACTAAAACAAAATATTTCATTTCATAACGTATTTCGCTATGACCGTCATGTCTTAAATTGTTTTGTACAAATACTTTAGGTCGGGTATCTTTTACACGCGAAAACCATGAAGTAACTTCGTTAGAAAAAGTCTATTTTCTAATTTTCTGAAAAATTCTTACGTACCGAAACACATTTGTTACAGTAACAAAATGCAGGACTTAGATGTAATCGATAATTTATTAATGATACCTATGGCCGGTGGTCAATTCCCTATATATTACTATAATACGATCCCAGATCCCGACTTTTCTACAAGCAATCCTGATTGGACGACTCGTTTTAATTTCATATTTAGTTGTAATGTAGAACCTTACACGATAAAGATATCTGTACAATAGATCCGGATGTACTAACATGCTTCGCTAATGAAAGGATAAGTTTCACCTTTTCACCTTTGGTATATACAACCCCACGGTGATAGGCCTTCTAAAGGGTTGTCATTCCTGATGTGTTATCACCGTGGCTGCGTTGCCGAAGGCTATCACAGTGGATATTCTTGCGATAAAGACCATCTAAAAGGCCGTGGACTGGGTCAGTCTTATTGCATTCAATGAGCCTCTCAACATGGTTAACACAAGTTATATATCCGGGAGATTTCCGCGTAGCAGCGTCGTATTTTATAACCGGCTTTCTATTCCTTCTATATATATAACGTTAAAAAAAATTCGTACTAAACACGATTCGTTTTTGTACAACTTTGGAGGGTCTTAATTGCACAATATGAGGACGAAAGCAGTAACACAAACATTATGTCCGAGAGATTGGCGCGTGGCATGGTCGTTTTTTGGACCGGCAATTTGTTCTTTCTGTATATAAATCTCGTAAAAAAACACCATATTCTAGAGGCAACTGTTAAACACCATTTGTCTGATTCTTTTGCAGATTCGTTTTTGTACAACTTTGGAAGGTCTTCTTTGCACAATATGAGAACCAAAGCCCTAACACAAGCTATATGTCCGAAAGTTTTCTGCGTGGCATGGTCGTTTTTTGGACCGGCGCTTTGTTCTTTCTTTATATCAATCTCGTAAAAAACACCATTTTCTAGAGCAAATAGATAAAGCACCATTTGTCTGATTCTTTTCGTGGCTTGGTCGGTTTTTTGCCCGGCAATTTGCTGTTTTCTCTATAACCGTAGATTGGTTGAGATTTTCAAAAGCAACGTCATAGACACGTCAGAGCCCTTCTTTAATTTCGTTTTTCATAATTTTGATCCATCACAACATAATAAGAAAGTTATTAAGTGGTGTGTGACAAAAACACGCTTTAGAGCACGTTCTTACATGAATTGACGGCATGCACAAACATTAAAATGAATGATACGTACTTTAAGGAGAAGAAAAGTAATGATCAAGTAGATTGTATTAGTCTAGAGGATCGTCCTCACAGCAATATAAGGCTACAACCTCTGACGACACAAGGAAAAGGATAGCAAGAGGGCCGCTTAACATTGTCGCTTTTTGGAACGTCGATTAGTTCTTTCAATAGATAAAGTCATCGAAATTTGGTAAAAAATCTAACTTTCTATAGCGAACTTTAATACACCATTTGTCTGACTCCACTGAAGATTCAGTTTTTTCCCCTTAGTTTAGAATGTCACCGTGGGTGAATCCGCAATAAGAAACCATTCAAAAGGCCTATCACCGTGGGTCGTGTAAGCTTAAGTGCATTGTCTGTCACTGCAGATATGATTGCGATAAGGACATACTACCGTGGGTTGGGTAAGCCTTATTTCATTCCTTGAGACTAGCACCGTTGGTGAATTCGCTAGAAGAACCCACTACAATTTAAGGCATGTCGACGTCCCCGTGGGTCGTGTGATTTTAACTGCACTCCATAAGTTTTTCAATGTGGGAATGTTTGCAACAAGAACCCTCTAAAAGGCCTATCACCGTGGATTCAGCCAGCCTTACTGAATTTCTTGAGGCGATAAGAACCTTTTAAACGGCCTGTAATCGTGAATTACGTCAGCCTTGCAGCATTCCCTGAGGCTATATACCTTGGATGAATTCGCTGTAAGTCTCCTCTAAAAGGCCTATTACCGTGGGTCGTCTGTGTTTTACTGCATTGTCTGAGCCCATCACTGTGGGAATTCTTGCGCTAAGACCCCTATAAAAGGCCTATCGCCGCGGGTTGTGTCAGCGGTACTGCAATTCCTGGGGCTATCACCGTGAGTCAACTTGCGATACGAACCCTTTAAAAGCAATATCCCCGTGGGTTGTGTGTGTTTTACTGCATTACCTTGGGCTATTACCTTGGGTCAACTTGCGGTAAAAACTCTGTAATAGGCTAATCGCATTGGGTTGTGTCACCGTTAAAGCATTTTGTGAGGCTATCAAAGTGTGTCAAATTGCGATAAAACCCTTGAGTAATGAAAGCTCTACTCCGTTGCCTGAGGCTATCACCGTGTGTCACTTTGCGAAAAGAACTTTTTAGAAAGCCTATATCATCGCGAGGTGTGTCAGCTTAACTTCATTTCCTGAAGTTATCATCGTGTTGTTTAACTTTACTGCATTGACTGAGGCTATCACCGTGAGTCAACTTGCGTCAAGAAGCCTGTAAAAGGATTATGACCGCGGGTTGTGTCACTTTTACTGCATTGTCTGAAGCTATCAGCTTAATTAGATCAGTTTGCGGTAAGAGCCCTCTAAAACTCCTATCACCGCTATCCCAGCAAACACAAGACGCCATACTGACGTCAGATTTAAGTCAGGTTCTGACGTCGGATGACGGTCGGAAAAACGGTTGGATTTGAAAGTTTTTTGACGTAATAATCTGACGTCAGGTAGACGTCAGAATCTAACCATTATGTAACCTTTTTCTGACCAAAATCTGACCATTATCTAACCATTTTCCGACCTCAATCTGACCATTTTCCGACCTCAATCTGACCATTTTCCGACCTAAATCTAACCAGTTTCTAACCATTTTCCGACCTCAATCTGACCATTTTCCGACCTAAATCTAACCAGTTTCTAACCATTTTCCGACCTCAATCTGACCATTTTCCGACCTAAATATTAACCCTTTTCTGCCCTAAATCTGATATTTTTTTGACCTTCATCTTATCATTCCCCTAATCTTTTTTGTTTCACCACGTCATAAATATTTTCTGGCTAATCCTGATTTGATCGAATTTAATTTAACTCATTCTATTAAGTAACTTTCCCTTAAATGAAATGTATAACAGAAAACTAAAAGCAAAAATATGTTTCATGCTCTTTTAATTTAAAATAAAAGTTGCAATGTTAAGCTGATATATATGCAATTTTAGTAAATTCTGCAAGGTTAAATAATTTTCATAAATTAAACAAAATAAAACATAAAATATTAAGTTAATTACAAAACAAAAAGTATTACAAAAGCAATGACATAAATGAAACTAAGAAAACATGTACAAATATTAAAGAACAAAACAATGTATACACATTTCTATCAAAGTTTGCCTTATCAAATAAAATAATGAAAATATTTTAAGAAAAGTTAAAAGATTCTGATAATAATGTTTCAAGCAATTTATGACAGATTTTCAGTACTTTAACTATATTTCTACAGCATAGAAACGTGACGCTATCACTGTGGGTGAATTCGCTATAATTAAGAACGTTCTTAAAGGCATATATATCACCGTCGATTGGGTCAGTCTAACTGCGCTGCTGGAGCCTACATGTACATGTATCACCGTGTGTATGCTTGCGATAAGAACCCATTTAAAGGCATTTCTGCATTTATGATAATTTGTGAGTTTATAAAGAGTATATGTCATCCTGTGCAGCAGAATATTGAACAATGGAAATGGGGGGGGGGGGGGGGGGGGGGTATCCTCTTAATTTGAAGTCACAGCGTACACTCCATCGTCCGCTGTAACTTCCGCTTGCGAGCGAGCTGTACACGGTAAACGCCACCGTAGAGAGAAAAACAGGTACAATATTTCAATACAGAATAACCAGAGAAGAAATTCTACTTTTGTAAGTAAGAGTTAGATGATATGAACTTTTTTCCAGTCTATATCCTGCAGTAAAAATATCTTTTTCCGTTAACAAATGCGATTTCTCACCAAAATTTTCCAGAAATGCCCTTTTTGTTGACATCAAACAACGATTTTAAAGCTTACCATGTAATATACGACCAAATCCACTTAAGTGTTGAAGATATATTATCGTAGCACCAAATAAACAAGAAAAATATTACATACATTCGTATGTAATATAGGTACGATTGCATACTACTTTTTGTGAAGACTTTTTATGTTTGCTGCATTAAAGCTAGGTGTAATGTAAAATGAACAAACATGTCATGAGATATTTTATATCTTTAAACATTTTCATAGAATGTAATTAATGTATCATCATATTAAAGTTGCATGCCTTCAGATGAGAAAAGTGATTTCAACCACAGACAAAGACTTTACCTAGATCGCTATATTTCAAGATGTCTATTTCTAATTGTTCGAAAAAATCAAAGTTTACATACATTGATACTTTTGAGTCAACAGGCGGTATATAAACATGACATATATAAACATCGTCTTCAAAGTTAAACAAACCAGCGCTTATCTTAACCCAAATAATTCCATGATTATTTTTTTCTATTACTTTAATAAATTTCTTGATATTTGATTTATAATAAAATGAAATACCTCCGCTAAATCTCCCTTTTTTAGTGTTTGAGGACTTATTACCAAAGATATGTTCTACACAATAATCATTTATATTTAAATTTGAAGTGTCATTCATTGATATCCATGTTTCATTAAGAAAAATAATGTCATATCCAGATATATATTCCAAAAAGTCACAATCTATTAATTTACGCTTTAATCCGTTAATGTTCCATGATATGATGGTTAAATGTTCTTCTTCTTGACCTTTCTAATGTTGAGAACTCACTTCCGGAATATATTCTTCTCCATCTATGAACAACTTCTCACCAACAAATCTTACGTTGGTTTTAAACGGGCTTGACGAAATCTTTCAAGAAAATGAAGTTGAAACGACGATCATGCCAGAGTATAAATGTTCAATCTGTGATTATTGCACCGACAAGAAAGGTAATTTAACGCGACACATATATGTGTACGAATGGTAAAAAGAAAGATGACAGAAAGCAGTTTACGTGTGAAATATGTGAGTATGACACTGGGAAGAAATACAATCTAGAAAGACATATAAAGGTTCATGTTGATACAGACGAAAGTGCAAGTAAAACTACATTGATGTGCGATGTATGCGGAATGCAGTTCTTGTCTAAATTTGGAATGGCCTTGCACACAAAAAATGAGCATTTAAAACAATTCAAATATGAATGCCAGATTTGCAAGAAAGGATTTAACCAGTTGCTTCCATATAAGGGACACGTATCATCGCATGTTAAACACACCAAACAGAAATGTGAGAAATGTAACCTGACTTTTAAACATAAAAGCAGTTTAGATCGCCACAAAAAGACTATACATGATGACGTCAAATATGATTGCGCTGAATGTGAGCAACACCACTAACAAAAGTCACCTCAAAGATCACAAGAAAGTCGTTCACTGTGGCCGAAAGCTTCAATGTGATAAGTGTGACAAGTGTTATAAATGGATGTCAGGCCTTAATCATCATAAGAAAACTGCACACAATTGAAGAATTATTTTGATTTTCAAAGAGCATATAAAACATATAGCATCTCTTTACCGGCGTATACATTACTGGTTTTAATAAATGTGTTATTTGTTATTATCATCACAATTATTTTAGACATTTGAATTTTACACAACAAGAAGTTGTGTTTTAGGCATCTGAACTCACTTAATAAATATTTGGTCATCAATCGTGAAGATTAATAATTACTTATCTTAAATAGAAGTTGCATTTTGATATTAAATATACATGTAGGACTCGGGTACACAATATAAATATACATTTGTGACAATTTAAGAATACGACAATGTGAATTTGAAAAGATACAACATACCAATCAATGTTACACTTAAATATAGCTTGGATATTGCCTGTTTAAACTTATTTTTATAAAAGTTCATCTCTGTATCGTGTATATACATGTACAGTTATTGTTATATTTTTATTTTATTTTATTATTGCTGAGCAGGTACACTCGACATTATTTTAATACTGTGATCATATCTGATTTTCTGTGATTCATTTATTTATTTATTTTGACCATTTTCTAATGTCTTTAATAATCCTAAATAATAATAAACTATTTTGATAATAATACCATGACTTTTTTATTCATTTTGTAGTAAATGTGAAACTAAGGTTGTAAAATGACACACTGGTTTATCTTTGTCGTAATGTCCATTATCAAAATTTTACATTCCGTTTGAAATGTCCATATGCCTTAAGATATGAACAGCTTTCAAGAAAGAAAAACGGTCTACGGTCTAAGACATCTGGTTGAATTGCACATATATGTCTCCATGATTAGAATTAACCTACAAAAAAGAGAAGTTACAATAACATTGAATATACGTTGAACATCATGGCATGTAAATATGTTAACTGCAATTAAATTCAATCACTTTAAGTATATAATTATTAGAGTCGCAATTTACCATCACAAAGTTTGACATACATTTGTTATTAAACCAACATATTATTTTTTATGGTTTAAATGCACGGTGAATGCCATTATAACCTTTGAAATGGGCCAACTGTTCAATAATTGTGTTTTTAATTGTAACAAAACTTGTAGCTTGCTCCCAGGCAACTGTAGTATCATCGTACATGATGAACTTGAGCTGACCTATGTATAATGCTTGTTTGCGCATGCTCCGTATTTCTAGTAAATCTAAGATCACATGTTAAGGGTTGACAGAATAAATTTATATCTTGTGCTGAACACTCGTCGTGTTTTACTTTACTTCATTGTATCAACGCACTTGGTTTAATTTCTATTAATTATTGTTCATAATAAACGAACATTACAACATGGTGTCAGAGTAAAAACGTTTAATAAATAACCTGGACATACGATAAAAAAAAATTGGAATATTTATCTAAAAAAATAAAGTTACACAATTAAATTAATATTTGAAAACAAAATGGAATTATCTGGATTGTCAGTGCCCCAAATGGACTGGGAATCTTCAAATTTACCTGAAGCTTATAATAAATTCGAACGTCACGCAAAACTAATGTTTACAGGACCTTTGAAGAAAAAGTCTGAAGAAGAACAAGTTTCTTACTTTCTATTATGGATTGGTGATAAAGGGCGGGATATCCACTGCACGTGGAAAGATATTTCTAAAGACGATGCCAAAAAGATCGACACGTTCTACAGAAAATTCAGAACTTATGTGCAACCTAAGCTCAATCCAATATTTGCTAGGTATAAATTCTACAATCAAACGCAGGGAGAAAGAAACCATCGATTCGTTCTTTTAC